AAAAAAAAAAAAAAAAAAAAAAAAAAAGTTACTTGTGATTCCCAGTTTCGTAAGAATCTTTTCTTTTTAATCATGCATAAATATTTCATCTTATCAGATACTTTCTCTCTGTGTTGAAATGATCATATGCTTTTTTCCTTTAAGCTGTTAATGTGGTGAATTACACTTATGGATTTTTAAATGTTAAACCAATCTTAATTTCTTGGTATGAACTCAACTTCCTCATGAGGTATTATCTCTTTTTATTGTTATTGAATTTTGCTAATATCTTACTGAGGATTTCTCCATCTATGTTTGCAAGATAGGGTGTAATGTTTCTTTCTATACTGTTGTAGTCAGATTTTGATATCAAGATAATTCTAGCTCATAAAATGAGTTTTGGAGTATCACTTTACCTGTTCTGTTTTTGCTCATATATGTTTGGTATATATCATTAGAGAAACCATGTGGGCCTGGAATTATCTTTGAAGGAAGGTTTTTAAATTACTCATATTAATTTCTGTAATAGCTTCCAATTTTCAATTTTTGTTTGTCCCTTGGTAAAATGTAAATTTTTAAAAGAATTTTCCATTGTATCTCAATTTTCAAAATGCAAAATTGGAATGAATTTGCACACAATATGCACTAATTATCTTTTAAAATAGCTTTTAAAATGTTCAGTTCAGTGGTTTTTAGTATATCCATAGATATGTGCAACCATCACCACAGTTAATTTTAGAACCTTTTTATCACTCAAGAAGAAACTCTGTATCCTTTAACTATGACTCCCTAAACCTCGTCTCCCCTCCCAGCGCTAGGCCACCACTAACGTATTTCACACTTCTGTAGATTTCCCTATTTTGGACTTTCATATGAGCTGAATCATATAGCATGTGGTAATTTTGTGACTGGCTTGTTTCACTTAGCATGATGGTTTCAAGATTTATCTATGTTGTACCATGTATCAGTACTTCATTCCCGTTTATGGTTGAATAATGTTCTATTGTAAGGATATACCACATTTTGTTTAGCCATTTGTGCATTCATGGACATTGGGGTTGTTTCCACCTTTTGGCTATCATGAACAATGCTGCTATAAACATTCATGTACAAGTTTCTGTGTGAAAATATATCTTAATTTCTCTTGGGTATATAGACCTAAGAGTAGAATTGCTGGGTCATATGGTAACACTATGTTTAACCTTTTGAGGAACTACCAGACTGTTTCCCAAAGTGGCAGGACCATTTTACATTCCCATCAGCAGTGTATGAGGGTTGTGATTTCTTCACATCATCATCAACATTTGTTATCTGACTTTTTGATTCTAGCCATCCTAGTGAGTGTGAAGTAAATATCTCATTATGGTTCTGA